ACTTCGTGCTGATCTTGTCAAGCCTGAAGTCCGCAGACTTGCTGCTGTTGCTGATGATGCCCTGGCTTGCTACGGGGTCTTCCCGTATCCTGGAGATGATGTTCCTGGGCCTGTTTCGTCAGGGGGCATCGTGGTGGAGTGGGTTGGAGAAGCCGGAGATCTCAATACCGACGTCCAGGGTGATATTTTCGCCGGCGGATCCTGCACGAGACGTGTCATATCGGAGCTTAACCGCGCTGGTTGGGCCTTCAGTTTTTGGTGTCGTGCCACAGGTCTCGAGAAACTCAGGGTTCGGGGGCCAGTCTGGGCACCTTGTCCCCAGACGCCCCAGGCGACCGAGTTTTATGCATACAGCGTCGCTTGTCAGTGATCAGATGGCCCTAGCGAGCTGTTCCTGGATTGCCAGAGTTGCATTGATTTCCACGCTTTGCCATTTGACGCCCAGTGCTTTCCCAAGCGTACATTTTCGGGGTTTGCCCAATTTTGTAGGCCCTTTGCACACCAGTGCTCTGTCAGGGAAGTGAGGGCTCACCAGGACCTCAGCTCGTGCGAAGATGACTGGGCGCGTTAATGCTGCGAAGGTAACTGCGCCGTCGACGCCTCGGCCAAGCTCGCGGTGGCCTCGCACCCCTCTCCGGATCCAAAGTATGCGGAGATGATCGATCAGGACATTTCGGTTGCGAAGGTTGTCGGCGTTTTGGCGGCCAACCTGTTGCCGTCCTGGCCTCGCCTTGTTATGGGTCCGGGTGTGGAGCGCACGCCTGATCCGCCCAAACCTGTTTCTACTCCTCAGCGCCCGCCCCATAAATGGTGCTGGGTCGGCTCTTTTTTGCCAGTGCTGCGAGTGTTTGCGCGGGCGTCGAGGCAAGCCAAGCTCACCCCCTGTGGGTGGAGCGTGCTCCCTGTCCTTACGAGTGCAGCCTCAGGCTTTGCGAGCCATCGGCCACCGTTGTATTGTAGTCGGCTGTTCCGGCGGGTTTATCTTGTGCATGTGCCAAATATGCAGCTATATGACCTCTGGCGCTCGGGTTGCCAACCTTGGCAAGCAGTGTGAGCCTCAGAAGGTCGCTACGCACATGAACCCGTGGTCCGAACTCCAACGCGGGCTCCACCCTTCGGTCAAGAAGCGTGGGGTCACAATAGACGTGGACACTTTATGCCCGATGTATGCGCTTCAGGCGCATGCTGTTGCGCCCCCCCCCCCCTGTGCCAAGGTGCCAGGTGGAACTTGGGGGCCAGCGCTCTGAAGGGCGCCTTCATGCTCGTCTGGAGGTGGAGGGTGGCCGTCGGTTGCACAGAACACCCAGCCTTGCTGGACCCACCGAGGGAGAGCCAGAGTGCCAGGTCGAGCTTGGGGACCAAGCCCAGCTGGAGATCCGAAGGCTAGATGATGAAGAGGAGGATACTGCTCTGTTTCTCGCGGTTTCCGTCGGTTCGGCGTCGCCTTCTGCGAGCCATGGTTCAGAATAGGTTCTGACCCTGTGCTCTCAGCTTATGTGTTGTGTGTTTCATTTCTTTCCCCTGGGGTGGAATCGCCCGCCCCCCAGGGTGTACGTGGGCAGCTGGCAGCCGTTGATGGCAAAGAAATCCTCCTCCTCCTCCTCCTCCCTCCTCCACCTCCTCCTCCTCCTCCTCCTCTTCCACCCCTCTTACGTCTCCTAATGCTCCTGCTCCACCTCCTCCTCCTCCTTCTCCCACTTCTCCCCACCTCCCCTCCTCCTCCTCCTCCTCCACCCGCCTCCTCCTCCTCCTCCTCCTCCTCCTCCTCCTCCTCCTCCTCCTCCTCCTCCTCCCCCCCCGGCCATCTGGTCCGCGGCGGTGCGGCCGCGCGCCGAGTCTCGCCTTCGGCCGCCCCCTGCGCCGGGCCGCCAGGACGCGGCGGACCCGGGCAACGGCTCGGAGGAAGACTGCGCTGGGGACAAGGCGTGCGCGCGCTGATCTTCGGTATGGCAGGAGGGAAAAACACGCACAGACACAATGCATCGTCGATCCCCAAGGAGCATCTGCGAAACTATGGAAAGGGGGGGGGGGAGACGCAAAGCCAGAACATACGGACAAATATATCCCATTAGGAGGCCACTCCATGGGTAGGGAAACGCTGGAAACGAAGACCGACACCACCCACTTCTTGTTTCTTTTGAGCAGGACTCGCTGTCGGCGTCGCCGCGGGCGCTGTCCATTCGAGGCAGGATCTTGCCTGCCAGACAGGGCCGCCGCCGGTTATGGACAACATTGACTGTCAGGTATTTCCGTACCTGTTTCGGGCGTGCCCCCTTCCTGGGTCATTATGCTTCTCGAGGAGGTCCCATCAGAGGCTCTTGCCTTAACTCGGGCCTGTCACTCTACAGGAGGACTATTCAAAATTAGTCAGAAATTGTCCCGGGACTCTTTTTGAGCAATTGTTGCTGCTATGTTTGGCATGCTTTTTGCTTGTTCTGTCATTTTCGTCCCGAATCCCCCCCGTAGGGAGGCAGGCCCGACTTACCTCTTGCCTCGGGATGCTGCCGAGCACTCTGCGCCTCGCCGCGGAGCGCTCCGGGGCGGCGGAGGCCTGCCAACCAGCCTGCCGGTTTCCGCCGACACGGCTCCTCCCGACTCGGCTGCCGATGTCCGCCGATGAGATGCCTTTCGATCGCCGATCCGACTTGTCGATTCGATTCTGGGCTCTCCTGCCCCCTGGCTTTGGGCGAGGATCCTCGAGGAGCACCTCCTTGATCACCGAGCAACAGAAGCAGAACGCGCGCGACGCGTCTGAGGATTGCACGGGGGCTGGAAGGGACGTACGAGCTACGTGGAGTGTCAGCCACGCGCAGAGGGCGGTGGGGGGAGGTGGGGGGCCTCTTAGATGCACCCATGCTTCCTAGAAGGCGCGGGCCTTCTCTATAGATGCAAGGCCCGGCGCCTTCTGAGAAGCAGCCTCCTGAGAAGCCCTCCTAGACGTCCGAGCGACGGGGCATGGAGCGGGGCATGAACGCCCGAGCGACGGCACGGGGCATTGACGTCCGAGCGACGGCCAGGCCCTCCAGCCACGCGCAGAGGGGGCGGGGGGAGGGGGCGGGGCCTCTGAGAAGCACCCGTGCTCCTTCGAAGGCGCGGGGCCGGCGCCGCCTTAGAGGCAGCCTCCTCCTAAGAAGCCCTGCCCCCTCCCTCCACCCCCTTGTGTTAGGTCGGGCCTGTCCCTCTACAGGAGGCATCTTCAAGACTAGTAAAAAATAGCCTGGGGACTATTTTTTCAATATTGTTTTTGACTATTTGGGAGTATTTGTTGGGTATTTTTTTCATTGGAAATCTCCATGTATGGGGGACACGCCCGACTTAACCCTTGTGCGGACCGCCCAGCCCCGGGGCGCGCGCAGGACGGCCTGGCGCCCGACGAGAGGGAGGGCGACAGCCTGCAGTGCGAGGACGCCGCCGCCTCCTGCCGCGGGTCGTCGCCGGTCGTCGTCGGCGTCGTCGTCGTCACCATCGTCAGTTCTCGTCGTCGTCGATCTAACCACCATCGTCACCACCATCACCATCGTCACCATCACAATGCAATGATCATCATCTTCATCATCTTGTTCATCATCAGCATCATTATGATCATCGTCTTCATCATAATCATCATCATCATCATCATCATCATCATCATCATCCCCATCGTCATCATCATCATCATCATCATCGTCATATTCATCATCGTCATCATCATCGTCATCATCAGCGCCATCGTCATCATCATCATTGTCAGCACCATCGTAATCATCGTCGTCGTCATCATCATAATCATCATCCTCGTCCTCGTCATCATCATCATCATCATCATCATCATCATCAGTATCATCACCATGATGATCATCATCATCATCATCATCATCATCATCTTCATCATCATCATCATCATTATCCTCACCCTCATCCTCATCCTCATCCTCATCCTTCTTCTCCTCCTCCTCTCATCCTCATCATGATGATCATCATCATCATCATCATCATCATCATCATCGTCACCATCATCATCGCCAGCACCACCGCTACCATTACACCAGTATCGCCAGCACCACCGCTACCATCAGTATCGTTACCAGATTCGTCATCACCATCGCTACCATAACCATCACCGTTGCCAGACCGTGTCGTTCTTTGTCGGTCGTCGATATCGTCGTCGGTCCTGGTCGGTCGTTGCTGGTCGTTGCCGGTCCTCTTCGGTCAACGACGTCGTCGTCGCCAGTCCAGGTCGATCGTCGTCATGTCGCCTGGTCGTCGCCTGTGGTCGTCGCCGCTGGTGCCGGGCGTCGCCTGTGGTCGTCGGTGATGGTGGTGGTCTACGTCGTCGAATGACGTCTGTCGTCGTCGCCGTCGTTTTCGCTGTCGTCATCGGAGGATGAGGCTGAGGCAAGGGAGGGGTGTGAGGATGCGGAGGGGGGGATGAGGGATGAAGGAGGACGAGGAGGAGGAGAGGAAGTTGAGGGGAGGAGGACACTGAGGACGGTTGAGCAGGGGGTGGAGGCTGATTTTTTGGCCGAGGTCATTTCGCCGAGACCGCCCCTAGGGCCTCACAGGTATGCGGTGAACAGATTGGGAGTGGAAGAGGGTTTCCCCTCCCCTTTTCGATAACCTCAAGCGGGGGGGCGCAGAGAGGGAAGGGTAATCGCCAGCGTGCGTTCTGAATTTCCTGATCGTGACTCTTTTCTTTCTGAGGTTACTATTGAGGGATCAACATGGTCAAATGTTCGCTGGAGCAGGACACTCGCGGATATGAATTTTGGCCGACGGTTGCCATTGCTGGATATGAGAACGCTCTTGCATGCTTCACCATCCATCGCTCTGAGGCTCCAGATCCATCATCTGCAGCAGCTTGTAGCCAGGCTTACATTCTGGAGACTCCTGTCAACCCTTGTCAGCCCCCTTCACAGCGTCTCTCAGGTCTCATACCTGCTATGCTGTGCGCTATTGTTGCACACGGCCGGACGCAATCGGGCAAGTCCACGACAATCGGACACATCATGAGACCAGGCCAGGCAATGCCGGCCACCGGCGACGGTGCAGGAGAGTCTGTGACTCAGTTCCCGGCTGTGATCGACACCGAGCTCGGCCTGATGCTGGACGCACCCGGCATCGATGACACGATGCTGCGGTTCAGTGACGACGAGGCCGGTCGCCGTGTGGCGCTGGCCCTGGCAGCGTCTGGCGTCACACACGTGAAGTTCCTCGTGTTCGAGAGCCTCGCCAATGACGCAATGCAGCTGCGCAGTACACTCGAGAAGCTGTTCAGGGCGTTCGGTGCGGCGGTAGCACCTGCGACACTCGTGCTGGCCACCAAAGCAGACATGCTAAGAAACCCCGATCAGCGCGCGAGGCGCCTGGACCTAATTTTCAATGTTGCCCAGGAGCACGGGTTACATGGGCCCGTCGAGTGGCAGAATGAATCATCGCAGGAAATGCAACCCCCGACCCCGTTCGGGACCCCCCCTGGGGGTCTTCCGCCGCCCAGCGCCGTCAGAGCACAAGGGGGGAGGGCATGGCGACCATTCCGCGTGTCACACGAAAACAAAGATGACGGGAAAGAAGGAAGGGGGAGGGATGGAGGAGGAGGAGACGACAGGGGCGGAATAGCGAAGCAATGGGGTTGAAGGTCGTCGTCCTCGTCCTGCGGCCTTCCCTCTCCCTTATTTTCCTCCTTGTCCATCCCTCCGAACCTTGCTCCCCCCCTTCTCCTCCTCCCTGCTTCCTTGTGCCTCGGGCAATTATTTGCCCGAGCCCGCGCTGTCATCATCTGCGCGGGCGGCCGCGCCGTCCTCAGAGTGGCCAGCGCCACCGACGCCATGGCGCCCAAGCGCGCCGCGGTGGCCCTCGAGATTCGGTTCCTGTGCAAGCTGTTGCTGCATCAGGAGACCCTTTCCTTTCGCAGGGGTAGTGGTGCGGGAGAGGGGTGGAGAGAGGTGGAGGGGAGGATGGGGGGCTGTGGGGGGAACGGAGGTAGGGAGGTGAAAGGTGAGATGGTGGGAGATTCTGCTGTGAGGACGAGGAGGGGCTCGGCCACCCCCCCCCCCCGCGCCCACCGGCCCGAGGAGGTCAAGGCCGACGGCATGAGCGCCGAGTTGAGCCTGAAGCTGGCCGAGAAGCTTGCCGACATCGTGAAGTCCTTGATGCAGGACCGCCAGGGGGGCAGGGGAGTCGGGGGTAGAGGGGATATGGGAGGGCGTGGGGAGGGGGAGGGAGGGGGGCACAGCGGACCAGGAGGCCAGGGACGACATGAAGACGGAGAGGATGGTGACGGCGAGGGATGTCATGCAGACGGCGATTCCCCCACACCCGCCCCCGCCCTCCTAGGGCTCCTAATCCTCCTCGCCGACGTCGTCGCCACCGCCATCGTCGTCGTCATCGTCGTCGGCAGCGTCGCCATCATCCTCGTCGTCTGCGGCGTCGTCACCGCGCGCACCGTTGACGGGTGGGATCTGGAGGACGTCGCCGTCTTCGCCGTCATCTTCATTATCGTCGCCGTGGCGTCGCCATGGCGGTTATCATCATTACCATCGTCGTGGCCATCATCATCGCCATCGTCGTCGTCGTCATCGTCATCAGTATCGTTATCATCGTTATCGTCATCGCCGATATAATCGCCATCGCATCGTCATCGTCATCGTCGCCGTCACCGCTTTGGACGGCATCGTCACTGCCATCATCCTCATCATCCTCCTCCTCTCGCTAAGCCTCCCCCCTATTCCCCTCGTTCCCCTCCTCAGCTTCATGATCCCGATCCTCGCGTCACCCTGCTGGTATTCCTGGCCCTCCCCGCCCTCGCCCTCCCGATCAACCTCCACCAATCCCCGCAGCCTCACCGCCGCCCTCCCTCCGCCGCGCGAGGAGACTCGCAAGGTGGACCCCATCTCGCTGATCGTCAAGCGCCCGCTGAAGGACATCGAGTCGCCCGACAAGGGCAGCAAGGCCAAGAAGCAGGGCCACGAGTTGGCCTTGCTGAATTCCGAGCCGTTCTTCGCCGCAGCTAAGGTGAAGAAGCTCGACGATATTCCGATGTGCTGGGTTTTCACGGTCTTCAAGAAGGCCGCTGCGGAGGGCAAGGAGATCCCTCAGTCAGCGATCGACGTGTGCACGAACAACGGCATGGTGGTCTACCGTGCAGTGCTGCACTGGATCACAGGCCCCGCCGAGGGAGGGGGGATGATGAGGAGTGGGTAGGCAGAGTGCGGATGAGGGGGGAGGAGTGATGATGTATGTGATGGAGAGGGCCAGCAGCAGAGGGAGGAGGAGGTATGTGGCGGTGACGGGGGGGGGGCGGCCATATACCCGTCCCTTCCCATCGTTCGGCCCTCGCCATCCTCGAATTCGTTCTTCCCCTCTTTCCGCCGTCGCCTTCTCCTCGTCTCGTCACCTCTTCTTCCCGCTTGCGCATTCCCCCCATCGCCCCGTCCCCTCCTCTTCCGCATTTCAACCTCCTCTCTTCCGCTTATCCCCGTCTCCATTTCCATGGCCTCCCTTCCTCATCATCATCCTCACCTCCTCCACTAGTTTCGCCATCCCACCCTCAGATACTCCCCCTCTCTTTTCCCCGAACCCTCACTCGCCCCCGCGACGCCCGCCAGGGCTGCCCGTGACGCTCGCCATCAGTGGCGACCTCTTGGAGAAGGACACTTGCGCGCGGTGGCTCTTGGAGAACATCAAGAACCGCAACACCCTGAACACTGGCAACGGGTTCTTCACTGACGCGGTGAGCACCGCGAACGGCGTGGTGTTCAAGCCGCCGCACTGCGTCTACCAGATCCTGAGTGGCGCGGCTGGCGGCTCGGACGCCGTGGACGACGACGACGAGGACAATAACAAGGCGCCCCGCCTCGGGTGTAAGCGAGCTGTAGCGTCGGAGGCGGAGGCTGGAGGAGGACGGGGGTGGATGGGGACCAGAGGTATCGGGGCGACGGCGAATCCGACGACGACAGCGGCGGCGGCGGCGGCGACGACGACGACGACGCCCGACGGCGGCGACGACGGCGACTGTCGGCGATGTCGCGCCTCCCCACCCCCGCCCGCCCCGCCCTTGCAGGGCGTCGCCATCAAGGACCTGCTCAGCAACAAGATCCACAGGCTGGAGGACCCGATCGCGGCAGGCCCTCTTCGCCCTCTCCTCCATGGGAGGTTTGGGGTGGGATGTTTAGGATTGGAGGGGAGGTGAATGTGGGGGAAGGGCAGGGTCGGGCATGGTCAGTTAGGCCTCAGTGGGTTGTTGGGAAACGAATGGGGGGGGGGGGGGGGGGGGGCATTTTCGCGCATGTGGAATAGGCGGAGGGCGGTGGGCGGGAGGCCAGAGAAGGGGAAAGAGACGGGTTAGGATGGGGGGGGAGACATAAGCGGAGGTCGTGTCATGGGGCAGCGCAGTTGAGTGCAAGTGTAGCGGCGACGGCGACGACGACTGCGATGGCGACGACGGCGACGGCGGCGACGACGACCGCGGCGGCGACGGGCCCAGCCATACCCTCCAAAAGCGGACAGGGATTTGACTGATAGCACCGCGAGGGCCGTCGCCGTCGCCGTCGTCGTCGCCCTCGTCGTCGTCGTCGTCGTTGTCGCCGTCGCCGTCGTCGTCGCCGCGAGGGGTTGAGGAGCAGTTATTGTCACCACCTTTGGTTATATGGAGACGGAGTTTGGAATTTTGGGGGCACATGGGGCTACTTGGGGCAATGTTGTGGGATCTTGAGGCAGGATGGGGTACCTCAAGATGTAGTAGGGTCCCGCTCGGGTGCGTTGAGGAATGGGCTTCGTTGATGCGCGTTGAGCTATGTTGATATCGGTGTTCTGAGGTATCTCGAATTATCTTGAAGCGCAGTGCGGCGCCTGGAGAGGGGGCGTGGCGCCCTTACGCCAACTGCCCGTTCCCAACCGCTGCCCGTCGTTCCCCCCCGCCCCCCCCCCCCCCCCCCCCCCCCCCCCCGCGCGCGACGCCCCGCGCGCAGACAAAGTCATCGAGCACAACTACTCGAGGGCCGCGGCGAGCGTCTTCATTCTCGGCAACAAGATCCTGGTCACGAAGCTCTTCGGGGAGAACGCCACCAGCAAGAAGGCCGTGAGCGCGGCGGCGGAGGCGGGCAAGGTGGACTTCCTGAACAAGCAGAACAAGCGGAAGGCCGAGTCGGAGATCGTGGTCGACCTCGCGACCGCCTCTGCAGCGCGCAGGAAGCGCTCTTCCAAGGTTGGCCAGTTGACCGCCCCCGCCGTGCTGGCTCCCCCTGGCGCCCCCGCCGCTGCGGCTTGAGTAGATGATCGTGATCTCCGCTCGCGCCTGGGGTGCCTGCGATCGGGGGGGGGGGCCAGTATGAGGCATGTATTTGGGCGCATGCCATGCGATGGCCCTCCCACCGTACGGTGATCGGTTGAGGCAGGCAGTTTGCGAAGCGCGGCGCCCGTTGCCCAGAGTATCGAGGCAGCGGGTTTGGATAATCTTGTGCATGGCCATTGGGAGCGAGGGCGCCCGCTGGATAGAACCCCAACGATGATGATGATGACTAAGACGCCATTGATTTACATAGCGTTGCAGTTTCTGTTTCGGGGCAGCGCGCCGAAGGCCGCCCGATCCAGCAACTAGGAGGGGACTCGTGGGTGGGAATGGGGGGGGGGGGAGGAGTTGAGGCAGGTTTGGGAACGGTGTCTGGTATTGGGAGGGGTCGCACGGGGGCTCGGGGTGGGATCGCGGCTTCAGGCCGTCGTGCGCGATCAGCTTTAACATCCACAGGGTTGCCCTCGCACCCATGAGGCTGCTACGTTCTGCAATGCGCAGTGGGGCCGAGCGTTGTTCCTTGGACTATGCGGCGCTGTGACAGCTCGGCCCATGGGGAAAGCGCGTTGGAAACACAAGTGACGTTGCATCGGTTGAGCGGCGATCCCGCATCAGACTTGGCAGGGGCGTTTGGGCATAGTCGAGTCTCGTGACACCAGACTTGCTTTGATTGGTGTGCTTATAATTTAACTTTTTTTTATATGAATAAACTTTTGGTTCAGTTGGTGGAGGTTGTGAGGGGGGTTGTTGAGTGTTTTTGGAGGGTTTTAGTGGTGATTTTGTTTAAATTCAATTTATCGGAATTTTATTGATTTGAAGGGGCTTGAGAATTCCATGTAGATTGTTTTAGGCTATTTCAACTTTGGGGGGTAATTGTTGCAAAACCAGCGGCGTGGCCTTATCTAGATATCCATCAATCGTTTGATTTTATCGCCCCGCTTATGAAGCCGCGTTGGTGGGGGATTGGTTGTTGATTGATTGGGCAGCCCCCCAGCACACACCAGCTCCTGAAGGTGAGTTGCATTGACCTGCACGTGATATAGATTGGTGGGCCCCCCGTTATCCAGATCGGCGGAGCTTACCTGGCCATGTCGCCCCGTGGATTCCAGGTTACATTTCGCTGCGTTCCCCTGTTTCTCGTCTCGCATTCGGCCCGTTACACTGGCCCCCGATCGGCGAGGCTATCGGATTATCGGAAGCGGGTTTCGGCAACCGCTCACACGCTGATCTCGGTAGCCCATTTTGGGCTCAGGCGGGGGCGGATGGCCCTCCAGTTGAGAGCTGGGGAGGGCCACTTCAAGCTCGTCCGCGATGAGGTTGTCCTCGGCCAGATGCGCCAGTGGCTCCTGCAGCTGGACGGGATCGCTGCAGTGCAATTGGACGCGTCCGAGGACTGCGTTTTTGCAGCTAAAGGCGGTGGTGGAGGTTCGGGGGGAGGTGGAAAGGGGCACCTTGGATGTTTCGACTACGACGAGACAGGGGGAGAGGGTGGTGCTGTTGGGGGATGGGAGGACGTCAGCACCGAAGGAGTTGCACCACACGGATTTCAGAAGCACGGGTTGAATTTCAGGCGCGCTGCAGGTCGAGAGGGGGGCGGGGGGGAGCGCGCGTGGCAGGGCGATTGGGCGCATCATGGTACCATGGTACGCACTGCATTCTGGTGGCCTGTCGGCTATTCAGCGCCACCGTCCCAGGCTGCATGGGCAGGAGGTGGATTGGCGCCCCCGTGCCCTCACCCCACCCTGTTCACTTCTCTCCTCGCCACTTGCATTCTTGGAACGCTCGGCCGTTTCCACGCTCCCCGCCCCCATCGCCCTCCACCGTCGTCGTAATAGATTGCGCCCCGCCCGTTGGCCCACCGTCGTCATTTCCCCGCCGACCCAGTGGTGTTGCCATGTCCCGCCTTACCTTCGCACAGGAGTGGTGCATCGACGTCGGGGAAGGCGAGCACGAGGGGAAGGCGCTGGTTGCTCCGTCCGATCTTGACTCGACGGGCCCTGTGACGTTCGCCCAGAACTTCTTTACTGCGGCATTCTATTCGCAGCCAGGGGGCACTACTGTCGACGAGATGATGCTGCCCTCAGGCGAACGCGTGGACTACGCCAGGCTGAAGGGCGCCCACCAGTTGCACCAGTTGGAGTTGGTACAGGGACAGCCAGGATCTGTTCCTATCAAAGTTCAGGTCGCCGTCTTTGAGCTGATGAATGACGGCGGGTACGCGTGGGTGGACATCCAGGACGCTTGCCAGAAGCTCGGGCTGCCAAAGCCGCTCAACAATGGCAGCCAGTGGTTTCACAAGAGATTCAATCGGTGGGCCGAGACCTGCGCGAAGCTCAACTTGGGAGCGGTCCCGCTTCGTCGCAGTCTACCTCTTGGAGATAGTGGCGGTGCAGAGGACGCCGCCCGAGCGTTGACCTTCCCGACCGTCTCCCTTCGCTGGTTGATGGTCCTCGCCCACCGCTCTGCTTTCGGCGGCACGTCCAGAATGGGCGAGGTGAGCTCGGCGCCTGCGCGCGCGGCCTTGGCCAAGTTGCTGGGCGGCTTGATCGCGAGGTTGCCGTCGACGTTCAGCTTCTCCATGAGGCTCGACCCTGACGCCGTGAAGGTGACTGGGGCGGCGGGTGGGTGTGCTTTCACTTGCCACGGCGGTGCTTCCGAAAGTTCTTCGGCGTCAGCGGGGGATTGTCGGAGGGGGGGCGGGTGGCGATGTGAGCGGGGGGTCAGGGCAGGACAGCCTCTCCAGGGTTCGGCATTGAGAGTGAAGGAGGGCAATGTCAGGATGACGGGGTGGAGTGGAGGAGCGAGTATATAGGTTCGGGGCTGAGGCGCCTGGGTCCATGGAGAGGGGTGGACGTGCAGGCAGATTTGATGAGTGGCCAGTCTGCGGGAGGATCTGGGTGATCGGGCCCGTGGGCAGGGGGAGGGCCGTCTTTGGTCTCGGCTTGCTGGGTGGAGAGCGCCCGCACGATGGCGGGGGGGGGCATCATCCTTCGACCACCCGCTCCATTTCCTGTTGCACCCCCAGGGTTTCGATTGGGGGGTCGGAGGTCGTGAACAACTACGCGGGGCTGCTGCCGTTCACAGTGCACGTGAGGGACAACAAGGTTGACCTCGGGGAGGTGAAGACGCTGACCGCCGCTGGCCATATGCCACGAGGCCGCAAGATGCATAAGCAGGTCAGCGACTTCTTGACGTTAGACGGCATGTTGGTGCAGCAGTTCTACTCTTCGCTCTTGAACTTGGCCTTCCACAGGGAGGCCGCTTGCTCGCTGCTTCTCGGGCTGGCACGACAGGCCCTCGCTCGCCTTTTCTGCTTCGCCCTGTCTTTCCGCGCCGTGGTCGTCGCCGTCGTCGTCGCCGTCGCCGTCGCGTCGCCATCGCCGTCGCCGTCGCCGTCGCCGTCGGCCCCCTCGTCGTCGTCGTCGTCGCAGTCGCCGCCGCCGCCGTCGCCTCCGCCGTCGCCGTCGCCGTCGGCGTCGGCCGTCGGCGTCGGCCGTCGCCGTCGCCGTCGGCGCTGCCATCTCTGCATTGTTGGTCGGAGGCTGGCGTCGGCACTGGTCGTTGATATCAGTTGGCGCAGGCGGTAGTTGCTGCCGTTGGGCCCCGCGGCAACGGCGTCGGCCGTCGGCGGCGGCATCGGCGGCAGCGGCATCGGCCGACGGCAGCGGCGGCAGTGGATTCGTTGTATTGTTGCCTTCCTCGGCACCCCCGCCATGCGCCCTTCTGCCGCCGCCATCCCTCCCGCGTCGCCGTCATCCACTACCGCTGACTCCATCCAACTTTCTCGTCCTCGCCCTTGCCTCCACCCTTCTCCCACTTCGCCAGCGTGCCCCCATTGCTTCGCTCTCCCTCGCAGCCGCCTTCCCCTGCCTCCACTGCTCCCCAACTCATCGTTCGCCTCTTGCTTGTCAATCCTACTCCACGGGCATCCCTGAATTCCCTCCCTCGCCCTCCCCCCCAACCCTCCGTTATCACTCCTCTCCGCCCCCCCTCCCCCTTCCTTTGTCCAACTACTTCCCATCCCGCTACCATTACATATATTCGCATACGCGGGCATGTGGATGGCGATATGCTTGCTCGCGCACCCAGCGGGTAATGATATTGTCATCTTCGTGCATCTGGCATGCATGCACTTATCCGCAACGAACATGCGACTGAGGCCGCGTGCGTTAGATCCACCAGCTGGGGGGGGGCATGGGAAGGACGCGGGGCGCCTGCTTAATGAGATGCTTGGTGATGTTGGTGGCATGCGTTTCGCCTGAGGCACCCCCGCCACATTGCAACATCGGAGGAGGAGGAGGCGCTTAAAACGTCTTATGGCCATACTGAGGCTATCGCTCGGGACATCGTCATCGCGCTCCATTGGCCTCGATGGTGCAACCTTGGGGCGTTCGAAAGTAGCGCTCCCGCTTGGGAGGTCGTGAGACAAACGGGATGTTGCGACGATTGGTTCATGGCGTCTCATCGCTGTCGATGGCCGCTTCGCATCATGGAGCAGCCCCGCAGAGTGCATATTGAGCTCGATGGCGCAATCGTAACATCGTCGACCGCGGGGCTCTCGCCTCGGACATCTCGCTTTTCAAATCGTTTCCGATGCTGTTCTGCGCCTCGCGCCCCGTCGCGTGGAAGGCCCTTCCCCTTCCCTTGCACGATGTGCGCCTTACCACCGCCGCTCTTCGGCGCCCCTCCGCGACTTTCTGGCCGCGCAGCCATGTTTCATGGAGGCGCATCAACTTGCGCTGGCGTCGTGGCCATCCGCGCATCGCGCTTCCGTGCCTGAGGTGTGGTTCATGAGGGGTCTTTTGTAGGATTTTATGTGTTTCGCTGGGTGTCCACTGGGTGCCTCGCGGGTGGGGGCGGGGTCGCAGGGCTTGCGAGGGGGCGGGGGGCGCCTGGGCGACTTGCGAGCTCGACTGTATATGAGGCGGGCGGGCGGGCCTCCGTGCATTGCGGGGCGCGCCACGGGGCTTTGGGGCGGCTCTCGGGGCCTCAGGTGAGAGGCTTTACGTATCAGTTTGCGTTCCTGGACGCTTGTCGGTGCACTCATGGGCCCACGGCGCGCTCTTGGACGCATGTGGGTCTGCCCCAGGGTCTCCTGGGCTGCCTTGGGGTGCCCTCAAGAGGCAGCGGGGACCACCGTGGGGCGATATTAGGATCTCTTTGGGAACCCTCGGAGAGTCGGAAGGTAGGCAGGGGGTAGCTTGATCAGTTGCCAAACAGTTTAGGTCTTATTGGTTCTGGCTCTTGGTGTCCCCCGAAGGTCCCCCTCTTGGCGCGGTCATGTGGTCTCCCGTGGTGGATTGTGGCTGTTTTGTTTTGGCATCGGTTACTTTGGGCTTCTTGGGGCGCTCTCGGGCCTTCCTGTGTGTGTCCAGCATTCCGTGTAGCATCCTTCGGGGCCCTCTTGGCCCTTCGGGGCTTCTGGGCCAGCAACGTGACCGACCTGTCCCCCCACCCCCAAGCGCGCGGGAGTGCCCTGGATGTGTGCTAAGTTACATGCCCGCTGCCAAGAGAGTTATGATCTTCTTGGCTCCACAGGGCAGGGCCGTCATGAGTACATGGGGGGGGGGGGTCACTTCGCGCCCTGCGGCCGCGCGGCAGACCCTTGCCATGGTCGCCCGCGCGCGCCCCTGGGTCAGCGCCCCGCGCGCGCATGAACCCGTTTGCGATTATGCATCAAAATAGGCTTTCGCGCGCACGTCGCGCACCATTGTTTCTAGTTGCGCGGGCGATCGGCCCCGCGCCACCGCGCGTGCGCTTTCGCGACCGAACTCATATGCGCGCTTACTATACAGCCCCCCTGCGCGTGCCCGAGGGCGCTCCCCGCCCGCGCGTTTTCTCCCATGCACCGTTTTCCTACCCACCCCCTCTCTCTCCACTCTTCCTCCCCTCTCTTTTTTTCTTCGTGGTTATCTTCGCGTGGCTCGTTTCCCTTCTTCATATTGGCCCTCCTGGCCCTCCCCGCGTTCCTCCTTGCTTCGCGTGCCCCCCCTCCCTCCACCCATTCCAACGACGCATTCTTCTTCGGCGCCGCGTCGGGAGAGCGCGTCTGCGTGACGCGCCGCTGGGTCATATCTTGCCGCGCCCCCCCCCCTCTTCTGCTGCGCGCCGCGCCCCGCCCCCTGCGGTCATGCCCCCCCCCCCGCCCCCCCTTCGGCACCCCTCCCCTGTCGCCGCGCGCCACATTGCAATTCGCGCGACCCCATCACGACGGCCGCGCAAGGGGGCGCGCGGCGGCCGCCTTGGCGCCGTAGCGCAGGGTCCGCGCCAATGGCACATCGCGGTGACATGGCGCGGCGTCCCCATCGAGGTGGGGGGGGCGTCCTCGCCGACGGTGTCGCGATTGACAGCCAGGAGGTGGGCGCGCACTCTGCGCGGGCGCGGGCTCGGCCGTCGCCAGCAAAATAAGCGCCTTGTTTGCGTCGATCGGGGCGCGCGGTGCGAGGGCGCCATGTGCTCCAGAGGCGCCTTGGAGCGGGGCCGCGCCCAGCTCGCAGAGCACTTGGAGTTCGTGAGGAGCCGCCCGCGGTCGCCGTTCCCCGCAGATTGTTAGGGGTGGGGCAGCAATTTCGTTCACCGCCGATACCTCCGAAACGCGATGCCAGCTAGCTGGGGCAACAACCGATGTCGCGCCTTCCCTTCCGCCGCGCCCACTGCGCGCGCGCGGAGGGCGGTGTGTGTGTGTGTGTGTGTGCGTGGGGTGGGGGGGGGGCATGAGCTCTGTGTTTCTTTTCGTGAGCCTTACGCCCGAGACCAAGAGGTCGCCGAGATGGACGACGACCTCTCGGCCATCGACGCCCTCGCGGTGCAGGGATGGCGGACAGGCCGTGCGCCAAAGGCTCTTGCTGGAGTGCTTGCGCAGCGGCTCCCGCGGGGGCCAACTGCGCGCCTCCGCGGGGCATGCGCGGGGGGGCGGCGTGGGGCGGGGGGGGGGGGGGGGGCAAGAATGCGCGCGCGGCGGCAGGGGCAGTTGCGCCCGCAAGTTTCGTTCAGGCGCGCCGCTTCCGCCCCCCCCCCCCCCCCTCCCCCCTTTCCCCCGTCGCGGCGGCCGACGCGCCCGCGGCGGTGGGCGGATTTGCGGACAAGCGCGCCAACCAATCCGATTCCCGCGCCCTTCACATCATCCCCCGCACCATGTCCTCCTGCCGCCGTCTCGCGTCTGACCTCGTCCCTGTCTCCTCCTCCTCCTCCTCCCCCGCCTCCTCTCCCGCGCCCCCCCCCCCTCCCCCCTCTCCCCCTCCCCCTCCTCCTCCTTATCATCCCCTCCGTTCCTCTCCCCAGTTTCAGTTCCATCCCTGTCCCGCCCATGAATATTCACGCCCGCGAGGTTCTTCTCCCCCGCGCCCATCTGCATTGGCTTCACCCTTCCGAAGTCTGTCGCGCGGCAAAGGCAGAATGCATCGGGTGGGGCGCATTGCAGGCCCCCGACTGAGACTTCGGTCCAACGCGCGAAGCGCTTGCTCGCGAACCCGAGCTGTTGCAGGACCCCCAACAAGCGCACGGGGGGCGCGGAGCCTGCCGAGAAGCGGTCGAGGAGGAGGCCAAGCAGAACAAGCATGATTCCAGCTGGCGCGCGCGGCCCGCGCGGGCGGCCCGCGCGGGCCGCCCGCGCCCGCTGCCGCGGCGCCGTGCCAGTTGGCGGTGCCGCGCCAGTTTGCGTGCGCGGCCCGCGCGGGCGAGGAGGGCGCCGCGGCGCCGCGCCAGTGGCGCGCGCGGCCCGCGCGGGCGAGGAGGGCGCGCTGCCGCGAAGCACAAGACAGCATTGGGCGCGGGCGGCGGGGCGCACCGCCGCCCGCGCCTCCGCCCCCTTCCACTATGGGCGATGGCATGGCGCAGGCGCGCGGCGGGGGCGGCCCGAGCCATTTTGGTGTTGAGCCCCCGCGTCGCGTTGCCCAGCGGCTGCGCCGCCGCGGCCCGTGGCGCCCGCGGCCGCGGGCGGCGGCCGACCCGCTGCGGCCCGAGGGCCGCCGCGGCCCCCTGCCCTCAGAAACTGCGGGGCCGACGCAGTTTTTTTGTTCGAGCGCAGTTTGCGCTGCGATTCTGGCATGGGCCGCGTCGCAATCAGTCGACTTCGCCGCCGTCGTCGTCGCTTTCGTTGTCGTAGCCGCAGCAGTTGTCGTCGTCGTCGTTTTGGTAGTTGCCGTTCTTGGCCGCCCATGAAACGCGCGCCCTCCATCCCCCCCCCCACCGCCTCGCCCATCTCGCACGCCTGTGTTCCTCCCTTTGCGTCTGCCTCCCTGCTTCCGCGCCGCCGCTCGCCCAGCGCGGATCGTTTTGCTTTGTTTTGGCCCGCGCGCGCGGAGGCTGTTCGATTCAAAGCATCCAGTTGCGACGCGCGCAAGGCCGCCCCACCAGGTCAAGAAGGGCTGCGGCGCATTCGCTGCCATTACGCAGCAAGTACCCACGTGGATCTCAACAACCGTGGGTCTTCTATGACCAACGGGTTAGGAACAGGGGTGGCAGGTTGGCAGTTTTGCCAGAGGTCGACAAGGAGCCCAACGAGCTGCGGGGGCGACAGTGCGCCAGCCCCACCCCACCCCCCCCCCCCCCGCCCACCCACCCCCCCCCCACCCCCCCCCCCCCCCCCCCCCCCCCCCCGACGCGCAGCCGCGGCGTTCCGTTGCCTGCGGGCCTCACTTTGCCATCGCCGAGCCGCGAGCAAGGAGCTCTTGGCGTTCGCGCAGCTGTCCAAGGCGATGAGCGCCCAGCTTTCGTCCCAGTGGCCCGAGGACATGGGGGCGACGCGCTTGTGTGACCACGGGGGCCTGGCCGCGCAGTGCTGCGGGCGCGTTAGCATTGCGCTTCCCCGACGCCGAGGGGGGCGACCGCGCCGCCTCATGCAGATCTGCCCGACATTATGCGCGCATGCGCGTGCCGCGGCAGCCAGCGCGCAATGGCATCGGCGTTCGCGGGGTCCTGGTGGTTCTTGTTGTTCCCCCAGGACAGGCGCCCGCTGTGCGCGCGACGCAAGCGGTGCCAATAGAGCAGCACGCGCTCCGCGCGCGACGCGCCTCTTCGACGTGGCGGCGTGCGGTGCCAGTGCGGGAATGCTGCGCATCGCTCGGCGGAAGGGGCCGCATGCGGCCCCTTCCGCCAAGCATGCAGGGCGCCACCATGGAAGGTTCGCGGCCTCGCAGGGGTGCAGCGCGGGGGCGGCGATGCGCCCCAGCGCGCCCTGTATTCCGCGTTAGTGGGTGGGGAGGTACCTCCCGCTGCCCCTTCCCTCCTCTTGTGCTCGCATAGCGTCCCCGCGCCCATTTCGGCACGCCCCTCGCGCGTTTCGTGCTCTCCAGGGAGCCCCACCTATGGTCCCAGCAGGCGTGCTCGCATAGCGTCCCCGCGCCCATTTCGGTGCACCCCCAATGCGTGTCGTGCCCTCCAGGGGGGCTCTACCTATGGTCCCAGCAGGCGTGATCGCATGGCGCCCCCGCGCCAATTTCGGCACACCCGTCACGCGTTGCGTGCCCTCCAGTGGGGTACACCTATGGCCCCAGCAGGCGTGCTCGCATAGCGTCCCCACGCCCATTTCGGTACACCCCTCACGCGTTTCGTGCCATCCAGGGGGCTCTACCTATGGCCCCAGCGGGCGCGCTCGCATGGCGTCCCCCGCGGCAGGGGGTGGGAGGGGAATGGGGGCTTAATGCGAGTAGGAGAATGAGGGCGGCTGGCAACGGCTCATGTGGAAGGGGCGGGGGGCGATGGGGGCCATGGGGGCAGGGGGCGGGGGCCAGGCAGGCATGGGGCAGAGGCATTCGGAGGCGGGAGGGGAAGGTCGCGTTTTCTGCCCGCGTTTCCATGCGATTGCTTGCCCATCGCGCGTGCACTCGGCAATGTAGTTCCCGTAATCCCCACGGGTTACCACGCCCCGCGTCAACGTTTGTTTTCGGGCCCCCCTTTCCTGACAGCGGGGTCCGACGCGCGCGAGGGGCGCGCCCGATGCGAGCCGCGTGAGGGAAGCACCGAGTCGCGCACATCCGCCTCCGCCTGCAGGCTGGGATGTTTGCTCACTAGCTTGCCTCCCTCCTCGCCCTGCCCACTCGCCTCGCTCCCGCCCTCGGTCGCATCCTCACTCCCCCCCCCCCTTCCCTCTGCCCCCCCGCCATCGTCCCCCTTGCCTCCATTTGGCGCCCTGGCGCCTCCATGCCAAGTCCTCTCCCTCCTGCGCACCACCTCCCTGTAGCTCCTTCCCCTTCCGTCGCCTGGTCCCCCCATCTTCCTCTTATGGATTCTTTCTTCTTCCGTCCCCCCCTCATCCGTCCCGTTCCTTCTGTTTCTTTCCGTGCCCTTCTCTTCCCCTTCCCACTCCCGCCCGAAGCATCCCCCCCCCCCCCCTCCCCGATCACTCCATCCGTCTCCGCGCCCCTTTCTCCCCCCTGCACCCGCCTCCTGTGCCTCCACCATCCTTCAGTCCCCTTCAGCCCCAACAGTGCTTTCATGATACTTCCTTGTTCTCCGTTCTCTCCCCCTACCGCCTGTCTGCTGCATTCCGCCCCGTCTCCCAAGTCCCCACTTCCTTTCCGCCCTTCTCCCAGAGTTGATGTGTTCCTATTCAGTCCACCTCATCGTTGCTGCTGCCTCTCGTTTGTCATAGCTGAGCTCTGCGCCTCCTGCTGCGCCCCTCCATCCTTGTCCTGCCGCCCGAGGTCGTCTGGAAGTTCGGCACGAAGATCGAGGCGTCGCTCTTGCTCGGGTGCAAGCTGCGCGATTCCGTCGGCGCGCCGATCGTCCAGAGCGGCGCGGCCGCCCTGGCCCCGCAGCACGCGCCGTGCTACGACCCAGTGCGGTGGCGCCACACAGAGAAGGAGCTCTGCCGCTACGCCAGGGCGACGAAGCGCGTGATGCAGGAGCGGAGCGCATGAGGAGGGAGGAGGAGTTGTGCCGCCTCGGCCGCCGCCGCCGCCCCCCCCGCCGTCGTCGCCGCCGCCGTCGTCGTCCTCGTCCTCGTCGTCGTAGTTGTCGCGGTCGTCGTCGTCGTCGTCGGAGTTGTCGCGGTGGTCGTCGTCGTCGTCGTCGCTACCGCCGCCGCCGCCGCAGCGGCCGCCGCCGTCGTCGTCGTCGTCGTCGTCATCGTCGTCGTCGTCGTCGTCGTCATCGGCGTCGTGGTCGTGGTCGTCGTCGTCGTCGCTGCCGCCGCCGCAGTCGTCGCCGTCGTCGTCGTCGTCGTCGTCGTCGTCGTCGTCGTCGTCGTCGTCGTCTTGGTCGTCGCTGCGGTCGTCGTCGTGGTCGTCGCTTCGGTCGTCGTCGTCGTCGTCGTCGTCCCCGACCTTCGCATCTCTGGATTCTCATTTGTATTTCTGGCTACTCCTCGGACTCCCACTGCCTCCTCCTCGTGATCTCCCCTGTGGCATCGCCCCTCTACTCCTCTACGCTGCCGCTCTTCTGCTCTCTCGCCCGTTGCTCCTGTCCTCTTCCGTCGGAGCTCTCAACCGCTTCCGCGCCCTCCCACCTTCTCACCTTCACTGTTTCGTTCGCCTCCCGCCCCCTACCTCTCGACCTCCAGCCGCGCGCCCCGATAGGATCGACAGGTGCTGTCGTTGGCGGGGCCCGACGCGACCAAAGTGGGGACGGACTTCGCCGTGAGCTTCGCAGTGATGATGGAGCCCGAGACCAAGCAATGTGCCATCATGCTGCCGCAGGCTGTCTCTTTTTTTTTGAGCGGGCATTGCGGGGGGAGGGAGGGCGCAGGATCGGGCGTCTCAGTTCTCCTCGGGGTTGAGGGGGCAGGAGCAGGGATGGGCAGTTTGCTCCTTACTCAGCCCAACCTTTCTTAACTTGCCCGCTTATCCCTGTTTGTTTCCCTTATCCCTTCTCATCCCTCTCTTCTCCATCACGTTTCATTCCTTCGTATCGCTTCTTATTCCTTTGTTTCCTCTTATCCACTTTATCTCCTTCCTCGCCTTACCTCCTTCTATCGCCATGATCCCTCTGTGCCCCCTCCTCGTCTTACTGCATCTGCTCCCTCTGCGTCCCGCTTATCCCATCCTCATCCTAACCCCTAGTATCTCTGTTTATCCCTCGTATCCCCTCTTATCCCCACTTATCCCTCTTCTCCCTCATATCGCATGTTATCCCCATTCTCTGTTCTATCCCCTCTGATCCTCTCTTCGTCTTGCTCATGTTACCTCTCTCTCCCTTCTTATTCCCTCTGACCCCCTTCACCTATCACCCCTTCTCCTCTTATGCTCTAGACCCCGCCCGTCTTCCTTCTCTTCCCACTACCTCCCTCATGCGTTCGCCTCCGCATGTTTTCCGCTACCCTGCTCGCTCCTCCTTCCGTCGACGTCGCATGTCGCTCCCTCGCCCCCCCTCGCCCTCGCCTCCTTTCCCGCCCCCAAGTCTCCCCAGCCTCCGTTTTTCCAAGGGGCCTCCAGAGGCCTCCAGGGGCCTCCAGGTGTCTCCAGGAGCTTCCAGGGCCTCCACGCAGGGCCGCTGGAGGCCCCCGCAGCCTTTGAATTTCGCCCCCCGCGGCGCTCCAGGGGGGGGGGGTCCGGAACGGGGCCGGGGCCGGCCCCGGGAACGATTCGGGGGGGATGTCTCGAGCGGGGGCGTCGCTCCCCAGACCACCCCCGTTGCGGACCCCCTCTTTTTGATGTTTTCGGGGACGCCCCCACGGGCTTTCGATTTCGGAGCTCCGCCCGCCCCCCCGCGAGGTCCCCCACCAGCACCTTGGGCCCGCGGTCTTCGCGGAGGGCGAGGAGTTGCGCGCCTTGCAGGCCGAGCACCGTGCTGCCATCAGGATTGGCGTGCCACGGTTCGTGCGCGCGGTGCCCAGAAAGGCGAGCGTGGCCACGGGGCTGGCGGAGGGCCGCAGGTAGGGTGGGAAGATGGGGAACGAAGGAGGGAGGGGTGCAGCTGCGCCATAGGTTGCGAGCATCAGAGAAGGGGGAGCGGAAGCACGACGGCCCTCGGGGACGGGCTGAGGGTCGTGGCACGTTGACGCCGCGAGGGGTCGGACGACGGTTCCAGTCAAGAGTTTTGCCCAGTTCGGGTCTCTGAGGGGCTACGGGGGGCTGCGGGGAGCGGGGTCTCTGGGAGCTCTCGGAGTGGCTTAGAGGATGATGGGGGCGATGATGGTGCTGAGGCTGATCATGCGGATCAGGATGAGGCCAATGGTGATGCTGCCGATGATGTTGGCAATAGCGATGATGGGGCGACGATGAGGATCATGACGATGCTGATGAGGATGGCGACGATGGTGATGAGGACGCTGTGGCTGCTGAGGATGCTTAGGGTGATGAGGATGACGCTCAGGCGAGACTCATGATGCTTTTGGTGATGCTGCGACGGTGGGGATGGTGATGATGATGATGCTGATGAGCAGGAGGCTCATGATGATGATGGGGATGCTGCCCAGGCGGCGGTGGCGATAAGGAAGATGAGGAGCAACTCGTGACGTGGGCGGAAGGGGAGGGCGGTGAGGATGCCGACGTAGACGATGATGGTGACGGCGACGATCATGATGATGAGTAGGTGGGTGGGCGTCGCGCGAGCCGCAAGACGCGCTGGCCACGAGCGGGGGTGGCCGCGCGGCGCCTCACGCCCGCCACGGCCGCGTCGCCTCAGGCTGCCGAGCCACGCAGCGAACAGGTCTTGGTGCTCCTGCGCCCACGTGCCGAGGACGACGGCAATGACGTCGCCGCAGAGGGCGGCGCCGCCGCCCAGTCCGACTCGGCCGAGGAGCAGGACGACGGCCCCCCGTGGCCCGACGCGGCCGAGAAGGCCCGCCTAGCCTGGGAGGCGGCCGAGCGGGCCCACCACGAGGCCGAGGGGGCCAGCTAGACTTGGCAGTCGCGGGCCAAAATTGCCGCGCTCAGCGAGGCGACGGCCCGCGCGGCTCGCGCCCAGGCCGAGGTGGACGAGGCCGCAGCTTTGCAGGCGGCCGCCGCCGCCGTGGAGGCGGCCCGCGTGGCACGCGCCATGGAGTGGCGGGCGCGGGCCTTGGCGTTGGTGCAGCGCCGCTGTAGAGACCCACTAAGGGATGCCACAAGCGGAGGAGGTAGGTCGGGGGAGCGGGGATGCGCCATGATACAATTGGGGGGAGGTAGTAGACAGGTAGGGGGCGAGGAAGATAAAGGGTAGGTAGCTGGGTGAGGTAGGCATACGGTGGGACAAAGGTAGGTAGGACAAAGGTAGGTAAGGGTAACGGTTGGATCAAGGTAGGTAGGATAAAGGTATGATAAAAGGTATGGAGCTGGAGGAGGTGGGATGAAGATAGGAGGAACAGCTTGTTTAGGTCTTTTCGTTTGCTCGCGTCGTGTCGCGCGGGGCCCGCCCCGCCCCTCCGCCGCGAGGACCGTCGCCAAGAGGAGGCTCGGCCAGGGCGCGGAGGACGGCGCCGACGAGAAGGAGTCCAAGCCCAAGAAGAAGAGGCGCGTGAAGACGTTCGTGGCCGTGATGCACCTCAACAACATGCTCAAGGGCGCGACGGGCAAACAACTACCTCACTGGATCCCGCCCGTGACAGCGGACGGCCACTGCGCCACGTGCCCTTTCACGTGGCCGTCCTTGTCGGTGGCGACCGACCAGGGGCCCGACATGGCGGCGATGTCGAACTTCTTGCAGTACAAGCTGGGCTGCAACATCCACTTCGAGTGGGACATATCGCACGCCCTCAACAACGCCACGAAGGGCGCTCTAAGGCAGCGCCTGCCCCTCCCCCCTCTCTGTAGAAGGATGGGCTGGGAGGGGGGTGGGCAGGATGGAGAGGGAGGAGGATGGGCGAGCGGGATGAGGACGATCAGGATGAGGATGAGGAGGAGGAGGATGAGGATCAAGAGGGGGGGGGGGGGGGATGAGGATGCGGAGGAGGAGGACGACGACGAATACGACGAGGACGAGGGCGACGAAGACGACGACGACGGCGACGGCGACGACGACGACGGCGACGGCTTGGAATGAGGTGGAGGAGGGGCACTGAGAAGGATCAGGAGGAGGAGGAGGAGGACGGCTGCAAGGGTTTGGCGGGCGAGCGGAGGCCCTTTTTTCGCACGCCTCCACCTCCAGCTCATCCTCCTTATGTTCTCTCCTATTGTTTGATCTCCCCTCGCCCTCGGCTCGCTTCCCCATTGGCCATGTATGGTCACTTCCCTCCTCTCCCATTCATGTGGCCAGCCCCTGCCGTTTTCCCACCTCGCAGCGCCATATGGTTCTCCCCCCTGCATCTGGGCTTTATGATCCTGTTGGCGTTCTTAACTTATCGGCTTCACCCCTCCCTCTTCTCGGCGTCCTCCCCTCGGCGCCCCCCCCCCCGTCTCCGCCTGCAGGCAGTCGAGGCTCTACGGGTTCCAGGTGATGATGATCAGCGCCCAGAATTGCACATACGGGTCGACATTGTCGCCTCCACGGCTTGCCCAGATACGAGAAGCTTGCTGGAACCATTGGGATTCTTGCACGATGGAGACCGACGTGTTCTTCCAGCTGTGGTTGCCCCACATGAAGCTGCAATCAGGGGACAGCGTTTTTTTTCGGGGGCATGGTGGCTGTGATGAGGGGGCGGCCAACGCGATGCGGATTAGATGATGCTTCGAGTGCACGCGATGCGGAGGATGGAGCGGTGGCGGGGGTTGGGGGCGGGAGGAGTGGGGAGGAAGCGGACTGGGGGATGGTGGAATGGGGGAGGGGGGGGGAGGCGACGAGGGTGACGTGGAGGCAGATGGGGGGAGGGGGGGCGATGACGAGCCTGAGGAGGGTTCGGCAACAATGCAAATGGGGTCGGGGGCGCTTGCAACGCGTCGCAGCACGCGCAGGGGGGGCACTAGCAACGAAACGTATCGGCGGAGCGGGTGTGGAGGAAATTGAGGAGCAACGCGCGGGGCAATGGTGGTGGGTGGAGTTGGGAGGGTGGCTCATGGAAGAGGGGGGCTCGATAACATTGCTGCGTGCCTTTTTGGCCGTGTTGCGCCTGGGAGGGCGCGCGGTGTTTTGGGTGGCTCGCAGTTGGAGGGGGTGTAGGGCAGCGCCAAACGCACGCGGCTCCAGGCCGACCCAGCGGCTTACATGAGCGACGCGCAGGTCTACGCTGCCCTGAAGGCCAGCCCGCTTCTCACTGCCAAGAATGAGAAGGTCAACATGGGCAAGTACCAGCAGCCGATTCACCATGCCCGCAGGACATTGTGCCTGTACGCTCAGAAGGCCTACTTCTTCGGGATCGCCGCCATGTCGTTCGCGTACAAGGGCCAGTGGAAGGTCAAGGCGCCTGTGCTGCCCGAGCACGCCCTCGCCTTGGCGGAGGGGGAGCCGACGCTCAAGCAGCATGCGGCGGCGGCGGCTCCATGGGACCAGAGCTGCGAGAACCAATTGGACAAGGCAGCGGTGCTCTTCGGCGACGTCGAGAACTACTACCGCCAGAAGCTCATCGTCCAGGTCCTCGGGCCGACCGCGACGTACCATTCCAGGCGCGTGCGGCCCCTCTCCTCGTCTTGGCCGTTCTTACCTCCCTTATTCCACATATTCCCCTCGCCCCAGTTCCCCTTAGCACTCTTAACCCCATTATCCCGTCTTCGTCGTATCCACTTCTACACATTATTATCCATATTATCACTTATTATCCCATCTGGTCCCTTTACCGCTCATATCTCATTTTATCTTATGAGCCCCCTCTTATTCAAATTATCCGTCCTTTCCTCTACCTCTCTTCTGATTCGTGTTGCCTCTTCTCCCCTGTTGTTCCCTTCTATCTTCCCTCATCCACTCTTATCCCGCTCGCCCCCGCCGTCTCCCCCCGCAGACCGCCCTCCCACCACCTCCTTCTTACGTTCGCCGCATCGCGTTTCCCATTGCCGTGCCCCGCCCATCCCTCCGTCAAGGTCGCACCCCAGTCCCTAGCCTCTCCTCGCCCTCGCCTCCCTCGCCGCCCCCTCGCCTCCCCTGCACCAGTTTGTCCAAAAGGTTTCCAGTGGCCTCGAGAGAAAATGGTGCGCTCCCCCGTGCACCCCCCCTCCGCTTCAGGCAGAACATCGACCTTCGGTCGGCGGATGCTGCCATCAAGTTTGAGCTGGAGCAGATCGTAGGCGGCGAGATGTACAAATGCGAGCGCCTAGCGATGGCGCAGTTCTCTCACAGGCAGTCGTACGTGGAGTGCGGGATCGAGGTGCAGTGGAGTGCGACGGTGCTGCATCTTGCCCATGCTCGCATCGCGCTTTCCGATGACCTGGCCAATCCCACCGTGGACCTCATATTGAACACCATATTGCAACACGCGAAGCGCAACATGAGCTTCACGCACGGCTTGCCGCGCCGCCAGGTGTTGCTCCTGCATGAGGGCGAGAGGCCGCGCTTCATCGAGCAGTTGAGGAAGGATCTGGATCTGTACGACGTGCTCAAGGAGCAGGCGTTCCCAGGAGTGCAGAGGTTTCTGGAGAGGTCCGTGTTTCAGCTGCCAGCGGTGACGCAGCTCGTGATGTGCCTCGAGAAGGACGGGTGGAAATTCACCGCGAGGACGCGGTGGATTGAAATGCACCCCGATCTTACCCCCCCACCTCCTCCTCCGATGTCCCTCCTCCTCTCCCCTTCCTTCCTCCTCCTCGTCCCCCTGATTGCCATCGCCCCCCCTCGCGCGCCACGGCCCTCCTCCTTCATCCCGCCCCCCCCCCCCCCCTGCCTTCTGTCATCCTTATTTCCTCCTCCTCCTTAGGCCCTCTTCCGCATTCGCTCTCGCCCTGCACATTTCCGATGGGTGGCCAGGCGGTGTCTACGCACAGGGCGCCCCCCCCCCCTCTTCCCCCCCGCCGCCGCCCCCCCTTCAGGCTCTCCAGTGATTTGACCGCTCCCGCCAGGATGAAGGATTTGACTGAGCGGAAGTGCTGCAGATTCATCGGGCAACAAATCGTCGAGGGCAGCTTCAACAAAATAAAAGCCAGGAGCGATAGAAACCGTAACAAGGTTTCGGCAGAGCACACTGTCATGGCCACCGCCATAGATTCAGGCGTGCTGACACAGTGTCATCATTACACGGAGGTCGACCGCCACAAGGAGCCCAACGAGCGTTCGGAGTCTTTCGGGCCGCACGCGTTCAAGCCGCAGGTGCTGAAGTCCAAGATGGACCCAGTTCTGAGGCCTCTGAACCTGTCTGGCGTGGTCGGCACTGGGGAGGCTGGCTGGTATTCGCCTGGCGCGGGTGGGATTCCCCAGGCCTACGCCGACCTGGAGCTTTGCCGCGTGGCCGAGAGGGAGGGCAGGATGGGGATCATGAACAAGCGGATCTTCTGCAGAGTGGTTCAGAAGGGCATCGTGCTGCGCAAGATCGGCACGGACGTGTGGCTCATGGGCGTTGGCAGCGTTTGTGATACCCTCGGGGTTGGTTGGCCCCTGGTCGCCTACTCTGCCAGTGACTTCACCCCAGAGAAGGAGGGCACCAGACAGCTCCTGGTCATCCTGGACCCCACCGAGTGGGAGGCGTTCCCCGTGTCCTTTCTCAGCCCGTTGCACAGGGCAGTGCTTGAGGAGAAGGAGAAGCTCGGCCCCAACACGGATAGCATGACCGAGATCAAGTTGAAGGCCCCATCATTGGGGCGGGCGGGTACCACTGAGGTAGGGATGATTCGGAGAGGTAGGTGAGTGGAGGAGGATGAGGATGGTGTAAAGCCTGAGGCTAGGATGAGGGTGAGGATGTTGAGAGGAGGATGCGGATGTGGAGAGGAGGAGGATGAGGACTAGGATTGCCCCACCCCTGCCTGCTCAGGCTAGCGAGCACTACGGGGACCTCACCATCGTCGCCCATCAGCGTCGCCCTCCTGCACCCTTGCTTGCGTGTGCTGCGAGGGAGGCGTTCTTCGACCTCCCCGTCTCTTATCTCAAGGAGCTCGCAGACATGATCGAGTGCGACTATACCGACATCAGCTTGTCATCGCTGCGGACGGCCTTAGCGAAGAAGCTCATTCCAGGTATTTCGAATGCGGAGCTGGTCAACATCCTCGTCAGGAGGGAGTGCAGCTTCGAGGTCGACGAGTCACTGGACGAGGTCATCGGGCTGGAGTGGGTGGTGGACACCTTGGATAAGTCCACCAGCGAGGAGCTCCACAAGGCCATCAAGGTTGCGGAGGGCGTCAAGGGCGAGATGCGCGACTTCAAGAAGGACGTGAAGAAGTTCAAGGATTGTGTTATTGCTTTGCGCGGGGCTGCTGGGTCAGAGCAGCGGGTGGGGGGGGGAGGGGGGAGGCGCGGGGGAGTGTGATGGGAGCAGTGCGGGCGACTGGGGTGGGTAACATATCGGCTAGAGGGGTGCGCGATTTGCACGCCGAGGTAGGTATTATCGATGAAGGTCGCGTGCGGGGTCCGTCTATGGAGCGGGATGGCGATAGGGAGGAGGAGGGGATGAATGTCTGATGAGGAGGCGGCGGGGGCCATAGGGGAGGGGGGGCGGGGTGCAGGGTTGATGAGGGGTCGGAGGAGGATGCGGATGGGGGCGAGGTTGAGGGAGATGAGGGGGCCTGAGGAGGATGGCCATCAAGTGGGGGAGGCGGAGAAGAGGAGCGTGGCTGGTGGGTGGGGGGAAGGGGGATGTGGCGGATGTTGGGTATGAGGAGGGCGAGTGAGAGGAGGATGCGATGAGAAGGGGGATGGTGCGGATAGAGGGGGTGGTTGATGTGGGGGAGGGGCTGGGGGTAGGCGGCCCCCCTCCGCGGCTTCCCATCGCCCTTCATCTTTTTTCACGCTTGTCCGCTTACCCCGCTCGCGTCCGCCTTCGCCTCTCGGCCGCCTTATGTTGTTTATGGCCTGTCAGGCGGCCCCTCGCCTTGCCCCTATCTATGGCCTATCCTGCCTGACAGATAACCCTCGCATGCAAATCGGCTCCTCAGATCGCCGTCCAGGGCGCGCCGCCGAAGCACGTGAAGCACAAGGACCACCCGTTGCACGGCAAAGTGTTCGCGAAGGTGCCGCCGACCTCCGTTGACGACCTCAGCCAGAAGAAGGCGAGGTTGTACACCCCTCCTGGCTGTTCGATCTGGCGGTCGAACACCAGGGGGGGGGGGGGGGGCATTACCACCTGCCCCCGCGCAGCCGCAGCTCAGAGCCCTGGGCCAGGCACGGTGGTAGCTCTTTTAAGGCGATGTTGGCAGCGATGCGAGCAGCGTGGGCACTCTACCTCGATGACAAGTGCCTGCCGACGTCGCACTGCCCCATCCCTGGCCTTATGGCCGACGCTTGATGGCGCGGGCAGGGCTTTCTTCCCCCCCCGCCCCTTCGAACAGGAACGGATTTCAAGGGCCAAGAGTTGGACTTCTCGCCCCATCCCACCTTCGACCGCACTGGCGGCAGCCCTTGTCTCGCGCCACCGTGTTGTAGGGTTGCGCTCGATGTTGCGCGAGGCGATCTGCCGCCTCGGACAGTTTGCACTGGCGAGTGGCCGCGCGAGAGCCACCGCGTGGAGGATCTGAGGAAAACGCTGGATGTGCGGGATTGCCTCTCCTGGTCGGAGGGGGTGTCGGGAGCGTCGGACGCCGTTGCAATTATATCAGATGCTGGCACTTCGTCCTTCCCCGCCCTCGCATCCCGCCTTTGCTCCTGAGTCGCGCCTCCCTCGCACTTACCCTGGCTGCCCTTCCACCCGCCCCCCTGTCCCTCCCCACCGCCGCCCCGCTCGCGGTCAGAAGGCTTGCCTATTGGAGTTCTTAAGTGTGGCTATCGCCATCGGGGCGCCGACCTCGATCAGCAACCCCGTTTCGCTGCCACGCGTGTAGGTTGGCACCCAGTGGGCAAGTGATGCACCCACAGTACACCATCATAGCTAACACGCATACCCCGATCATGCCATACGATACCATAGCATACAATATCTACAATATCACCTATGGCATGGAGGGGTATGTATGATGTGTTATGGTTCGGTAGGCATTGTATGGTATGTATGATATTGGGGGTATGGTATGTGCTAATACATATGTCATGGTATGGTATTGCAAGTGTGGTATAGTATGGTAGCTATGGTATGGTAGGTGTGGTATGTTATAGTACGTATGGCATGGTTTGGTATCGCAGGCGTGGGATAGTATGCTATGTGTGGTATGGTAGGTCTGGCGCGATATAGTACGTATGTTACGGTTTGGTAGTGCAGGGTGGCATGCACTACCTATGCGCCGCTCGCCGCCGACACTTGCCATCTGGCGTGGGAAGTAGTGTAGGGAAACACGCGGTCCAAGCACAGGTTACACATACGCGCATGCCAACGCAACCAATTACATATGCCAGCGGGTACGTTAAGACAGCGGCGGCAGCAACGCTAACATCGTGGGTCCGTTCAGCATCAGACCCTCGCGCATAGGCTACCCTTGAGGGGCGGGCTCGCCTGAGCGAGCATGGCATCCAGATACCAAACGGTGCTTCAAGACCTACGATGCCATACCACACCATGCACCACCATTCCATACCATGCATACACTACCCCTCCGTGGGGGCCCCGCCTGAGCGAGCAGGGTACCCATGTACCATATTATGTATCATGGTGCGCGCCCCTCCCACCATTCCAGGGGCGCCCCGCTTGAGCGAGCAGGGCATCCAGCGACCATGGTGTTTATCAGGTTTCGCGCACCTCCCGCCCATCCAAAGATGCGCCGCCTGAGCGTGTATGCAGAGACCCATAAGGTTTATCAGGTTTCGCGCCCCTCCCACCCTTCCATGGAGGCACGGCCTGGGCGAGCAGGGCATCCAAACACCATCAGGTGCATGAGGTTTCGCGCTCCTCCCACACATCCAAGGAGGTCCCGCCTGAGCGAGCAGGATATTCAGTGTTGGGGGTTCGGGGTTTGCGGCAGCGCTGCGAACCTTTCGCGCCGCGCCGCGCGGTTCACCGACGGGGCGCGCGCGCGCCGCCTCTGCGGCTGGGCTTGGGGTCGCGCCCAGGGGCTGCTGGCCACCGAGCAGCCCCTTGTGCGTCGCGCATTATTTGCCCGAGGCTTCTGTGACGTCTCCGACTTCGGCGCCAATGCTTCCACTGCGGTTTGCGCGTTCCGCGCGCGGCGTTCCTTTGCTCGCACGGTGTGTGCCCGTTGGCGAGCGGTTGTGCTAATATTGCGTTGTCGTTCGCGGCGCGCGTGCGGTTTGCGCGCTGTCTGTCGCGCCCCGCAGCCCCGTTCGTGCCCCCGCTTGCGTTCCGCCAGCGCCCCGCATAGCCCCTTTCCTTAGTTTGATGTTCGCGCGCGCGCCGCCCCTGGGAGCGCGCGCTGGTCGGCGCGGGGGTGATGGGAGGGGGTGGGGGGGGGGGGGGGGGGGGGGGGGGGGGGGGGGGGGGGGGGGGGGGGGGGGGGGGGCGCGGTGGACTGGCGCTCTGTTTTGCGGTCTCGATGTGTACGCTTCGCTGCGGGAATTCGAGCGCGGGCGCGCGTGCTTCGTTCGAACGTGCAACGCAGCGGACGGGGGCGGCCCAGTCGCGGCGAGATTGGGCTCACATTGCCCCGACAGGCGGTCCATCGCGGCAGGATGAGGTCTCGTGCCACCGCCCTGTCTGCAAGACGATGTCCACGTGGTCCAAGCGAGCCGCGCGGACTGGGTCATCGCGATCCCGCCGTACGACAGGTGCGAGACCATCGTTCAACGGGGTCCTGCGTTGCTTGCGTCGCCGCGGGGGGTGTTTCGATCGCCATGGCCGCGCCCGCGCGGCCACGCAAGTTCGTTGGTTCGCTCGCTTTGCAGACGCGTTCGGCACCGTTGGCGTCGACGATGCAACCGACTTGTGCAAGGCCAACAAAGTCGCGCCCAAAGCTTTCAATGGCGAGGCGCACAAAGCGGGCAGCCAGGTATTCCACGCGCAGCGGCAAAGTGGCGCGGCGCGCGCCATCGTTCGGCGGATTAGATGCGAGCGCCGCCCCGTGGGGCGGCGCGCCTGCATGCGATCCTCGGGTTCTTCGCGGGGGGGCAGATTGGGCGATTGCCATGTATTTCGGGGTGGAGCAGGCTGGCAGTTCCGCCGCTGTGCGGCGGCCCTGGTCGCGCTACAGGTGACGCAATGCCGCGCGCATGGCCTCGACGCGCGTGTCCGCGGGTGGCTGTGCGAGGGCCGACCTGCTGTACTACGCCAAGGACGATGGCCAGAATGACGTGGCCACGTTGGAGACGGAAGAGGCTGCGCAGCCAGTGGCCGTCAGCGTAGACCTTCCGTTCCAGGGTGCCGCCGAATGCCGACGAGGCGGCCGCTGCGTTGATCGGCGTGGCGCGGGATTCATATATGTCCAATCCGCCGAAGAAGTTTCAAGGCTGATATTCTTCCTGCTACGATGGCCGATCGCGACAGCGAGAACGGGCCGTTACTTTTCATGGGGGGTGCCATTCACGGGGCGCCTGATCGGGAATTGCGACCCAGCGCGGCGCGGCGGCGTTTCGCGCGGGGCGACATGGCTTCGTGGCCCCGCCCGAGTGCGGGGCACGCATCGCTCTGGTGGGGTCGCAGACGCAGTGGGGAGTTGGTCGTGGACGCAAGTTCGTCGCGCGGCCGCGGCCACACAATGGCGGCTCGACGCGTTGACCCAGCAGTTCAAACCGCTTACGGAGGGCGTGCCAAGGAGGACGAGGCCCGTTGGCGAGGCGGCGCAGGTGGTGGCGCAAGCGCCCGATACTCTGGCGCCGAGCTACTCCATCATGTTCGCGCACCCCCCCCGCCCCCCAGCGGATGCGACGGGGGTGCCGTGGCATCGGCTGGAATGCCGAGCAGGTTCGGAAGGTTGCCGACGGGGGCCCGTGCGCCGAGAGCGCCGTCAGGGCCGCGACGGCTGCGCGTGTTTATATCAGTTTTTCTTCGACCCCCGCCGCCCCATTCCCGCGTCCGCGCCTCCTCGCCCGTTGCCCGAATTCGCCGCTCCCCCCCGCGCCCGTCGCTCGCCTCCCTTCGCTTCTACCCGCGCCGCCCATTGCTCCCCAGAGGGGGATTAGGGCTGGCGGGGGAAGGGGGGCGGGCGAAGGAGTGGAAAAGGGGTGGGAGAGAGGAGGGGGGGGGGGAGCGAGGGGTGGGCAGAAGAACGGCGGGGCGAAGTGAATGCAGGAGGAATGTGGCGGGGAGGGCAGTGCAATGCTGTTTCGATCCAGCCTGGGCGCCGCACCCCCCTCCTCGCATCGCCCGCCGAGGTCCGCCTTCGCATTCATGATGTCTCACCGATGAGCGAGGCCGCTCCATCTGCGCGAGCGCCGCGCGACCGCGGGCAGCGACCGCTGTGATGCCGCGCCATGCAATTAAGGGTCCGACCGAACGGTAACGTTTTCGGCGGCCCATGTGCGCGCCCCGCCTGAATCCTGGCTGGTGCAGTCCAGCCAATCGCTCGTGTTCAACAGTGCACCGCTCGCGTGCGTGAGTCGCGTCCGTCGCGCATATTGCAAAGCGCTCCGCGCGGCGTTGCGTGTTTCGCAGGCCGCGTGGCCACCCTCTATGTAAGGCGCCACTTGGGGCGCAGTATTAGTTTTGGGGCACGTCGGCGGGGTGGGTTCACGGGGCCACACCATGTTCTACACTCTGGTTGCCGTAGGTTCACCCTGCACCGTGCATGGGTTGTGCTTACAGGGGCCTCCTGGGTTCCTATAGGGGGTTTGTTGGGATACCACAGTGACGGCTCTTGGAGGGCTCCTGGAGGCTTCTATGGGGGCCCTCCCATGGCGGCATGGGGGGTATTGAGGGCTTCGGAGGCCGTGGGGCTCTGGGGGCCCCCCCTGGGTGCGCTTCGGAAGCGCCTGGGCGGCTCTCGGGATATCTTGAGGCGGGAGGCTCGGCATGTTCGTTCGCGTTCCCCTCGTAGGGCCTTGGGGCTTCCTTCATTGGGTGCCTCTCGAGCGACCTTAGGTGGTGTTGTGGGCCGTCGCGAGGCTTCCTTGGGTCGTCTTTGACGCTTCCCACGGTTCTCGGTTTTTTGGTGGCCATGCGGAACCCTTGGGGTGGACGCGGTAATTTGGGAGCCCCGCAAGGGCGCGCCCGCGCGACAAACGTTGACACATACACGGGCATTTCTCATGTTGGCCTCTCGGGCCCTTTTTCGGGGCCCTCCTGGGAGCGTTCATTGGTTTTCTTGGGGCAGGGCAGTCTTGGGTTGTTTTGAAGCCATCCTGGGCGTCTTCGGTCCTCACTGTGCCCTCTGGGGGCGCCTTTAGTTTCGCGCACATCTCCTGGTGCTTTTTCCAGTCGAGAAGCCTTTGGGCCCTTTTTGTAAATCCGCTGAGACCGCTCCCGACGGCCCGCGCAAACGCCCGCGTTCGATGTATTATGTGTTTAAGAACGTGTGGGGCGTTACGTGTGGTATGCACTTATGGATTAGTATGGTGCGCATGTATGTGATATATACATTTGCAACGAATCATACGCACGATGGTTTGTGTGATATGGAATCAGGTGATTAGTTGGTGTCTAACAATGTGTGTCTGTATGGCCATATGTGTGTATGTGCATAGTACTGGTGTTGTATGTACCTATGGAGACTGATGCCCACATGGTGCCAGACCTACACCAAGTTGGTTCGGTGTCAACGCTGGCGCTCGCCAGAGCTCTCAGTCAAGCCCGCCCCGCTCCGCTGTTCGGAGAGCACTGAAACGTCTGCTTTGCCTGCGTCGTCGTTTCTGTTCACGGCGCCATTGCTCCCATTTCGTGCGCCCTCATCCAGCTCATCCAGAACCGGTGCCGCCTGCGCGGCTTGGTGGCGGGGGGGCCAAGTAGTATGCAGCTGAGGAGACGAGGACGTGGGGGGACCAGACCTCTCGGGTTTTCCCATAGCCTCCTGGGTGTGGGGAATCCTGGACGCCTTTTGTGGCAGGGCATGAGATCTCTTCGGGGGCCATGGCGGGGATGGTTGGGGGGGGTGAGAGAGGTGACCGATAGTTTTGGGGCGTGGCAAAAGCTGGGCGAGGCGGGGGGAAAGGGACTAGCGGGGAGGTGATCTGAGGCAGAGGGGGGCGAGGAGTGGAGGGCGGTTCGAACTGGGTTAGGGAGGTGGATGCATGGGGTTGGCACTTGCCCAGGGTGATCAGACATGGGGTTGCACGTTTTCCCCCCCCACCCCGCGCCCGCGTGGAGGTGAAGCAGGGGAGTTGGAACAGCTAACACCTTTAACCCCGTCACTTCAGAGAGCTGGTGGGATTCATTGTGCCAGGGCATGGTCACTTCGTCGCCGTGCGTGGCTCTAGAGCTGGGACTTCACACCAGTTAGTCGCGAGAGCGGTCAGTTGGGGGTTCCCTGCCCGCGACGCGGCGTGCGGCTGGATAGGCCATGTCGGTGGTGGCACTCCCCGTCGGTTTCTGGAGGCCTCGCGAGAGGATGGAGCAGGCCGACATCGAGGACTTGTTGTGGTCGCACTGTTGATCTGGATGCCCCCCTATCGTCAGTTAGTTTCTTCGTCTGTTGCCTTCGATGGGCTTGAGCGTGGACGCGCCGCCCTTCCCGACCTTGATGTCATTGGTTGTTCGGTTGGCCAGCTTTGTAGGTCATTTCCCCTTCGCCCCTGGCGCTTTGCACAGAAAGCGTGTTCTTCTCGCTCGGGATGGGCGACCCATTCAGACCAGTGGGGGAAACGACCGACGAGTGATATAGGACGGGATGGGGAGGGGGAGGGAGTGTAGGGATGAGGGCACACGGGTAGGGATGTAGGAGGGGAGGGGGATGGGGATTACGGTTGCTTGGGATGGGGGCCCATGGGCAGCCCCCCCCCCCTGGAGGACATGGTGAAGACGGGCAAGGTGTCGCTGTGCAACTCCTGGGATTACGGCTGGTGCGTGCTCCGTGGCCCGAGTTGGTGCTACAGCGACACGGACGGCGGCGAGGGCTTCATCGGCTGGGCGGTGCCGCCGACGCGCGAGAGGCTCGCGAAGTGGACGAGGGACATCTTGCTTGGTGCGCATGGCGAGGAGACTGATGCGAGCGGCTTCTATCCTGGCCACTACGTCCATCGCTCGATCTGCGCAGTCTTCCCCAATGGCGAGAGCGGCGATAGGGCGATTGACCTGAGGGCGGGCCGCCACAACGCCTACGACCTGGTGCGCTTGCGCCCGATGGCGACCAAGCAGACCCATGAGAGGCTGCACGACATCTGCGAGGTGAAGTTCATGGCCCTCCAGATCCTGGATGAGGCGTGCCAGTGGAAGGGGAACGCGTACACGGCGGTGCGCGAGGACCAGCAGATCGCCTTTGCCACCGTCGATGCCCTGAAGCTGCTGCTCACCGACTGGTGCGAGAAGGCGCTTAAGGAGGAGCTCGCGAGGTTCGAGGACGTGCCGAACCCCGCCCAGGCGAAGCGCGCCCTGAAGGCCAGCGGCAGCAACGCGTCGGACCTCGGGTTATGAAGGGATGCTGGGGCATGGGGAGGGCGGGAGGCAGGGGGAGGGATGGGGGGGGAGCTATGGGGAGGGACGGGGAGGGATTTGGAGGGATGGGGATGGAAATATGAGGCGGCGTGGGGATGGGGGGGCTTGGTGGGGGAGGGGGATGATACGAAGAATGCTGAGGGGTCCTCCCCCCCTCCCCATCGCCCGCAATCCCAGGACGGCGACGCCAAGAAGGAGAAGAAGGTCAAGAAGGAGAAGATCAAGCATTGATTCAGCGGCTGCGCTCGAGTCTATCGGAGCGCAGTTCGTTGAGTCGCCCCGCGCCCGCCTGATGATGATGGCGGCGACGAGGATGGGGGAGGATGATGATGATGAGGAGGCGGTGGAGGAAGAATGGCAGGAGGGTGGTAGAGGCTTCGGTGGATGATGGGACCGAATTACTTCTAAAACAAATCTTGGCGGAGGCGGTGGGCATGTGATGCCGGGGAGGGTGAAGGGGGAAAAAGGGGAGGAAAAAAAGAGGAAGGAGGAAAGGGGAACCCAGGCGCTGAGGAGTAGGAGGATGACGGGGAGGAGTGTGAGGAAGGAGTGAGGATGGGATGAGAGGAGGCGAAGGAATCCCTCCCCCCTCCCCCCCCCCCTCGTCCTCCTCATCGTCCAAGGCGCCAGGCGATCCGATGCACTCCGCTCATCAGCGGATGTGGCCAGCCGA